CCCATGGCCCTCCAGAATTACAACTACTGATGCCAATAGCAAAATCCCCCCAACAAACACAGAATACAACCTCGTTCATATTTGCTAATATACAGGGCCTTAAGCCATCCACCAACAACTAAATACCTTTTATCAGTGGACTTCTAGTGGAGTCTAATGCAATGTTTGCAGCCTTCACAGAGACTCACACAAAAGATCACTTTGACAGTGAAATATGGAAAAAGTGGTTACAACCTTTTTAGAGGCGACAGAAAAAAACAGGAAAACAAGGGGGGGGTTGGCCTTTTATGTCAAAGGTCCCTTATCTGCACGGAGTTGCTGAACACCACAAATGAGGTAGTGAAGTTCTATCAATAAAAATCGAGAACCAAAACCTAGTCATTGTGGTTGTATACAAGCCACCAGATGCAACTCCCAACAGTTCAAGGAACAGCTACTGAAAATCGATTATGTTTGGAAACCTTCCAGCTCCATCCCCAAACTTTCTTACTGCTTTGGTAAATTTCAAACCTAAGAGCATACAAAATGGAAGAAGGGTAGCAAATAATGTTTTAGCTGAACAATCCCGGGAGGTAGCGCAGATGAAAGGTCACACTACATGAGCTACTAAGTCTCTGCGAAAAACACACCTTAAGCCAGCAGAAAGTGGACCCAAACAAGACTAGAAAACACACTTGACCTTATTCTTCACAAAATAATGAGGACCTGTTTAAGAGACATAAGAATATCAAAAACAACTAATTCCGATCACAATCAAAATCGAAGTCCAGACGTACATGCATAGGGTCCTGAACAGCAAAATGCAATGTACCTGTGAAGGTGTCTTCAAAAAATTTACAATTTCAACAACAAGAACATCAACTGGGCCCAGGTAAACCATGTCCTAAACGAACATGTTCGGAGTTGTCTTAAATGACATGGATCCAAACCAGTGCCTTGAAAGGATCAACTTTTCCCGGTAGCCGAAGCATGTTCTAGGCATATTCCCCTAAGAAAGAAGAAGAGCAGGAGTAAATGGAGAGAAAAAGACGCTCCCTTACAGAAGACGACGAAGAGTCACTGAGCTCCTCAGGAGTGCTAGAATCTGATACACGAAAGGAGGCGCTGACCAGGGAAGTGGAAACTATCGAACTTAAGCTAAATGACTCTTCAGGAACCAGGAGAGGCAGGAGGGGCTTAAAGCTATTAGTGAAATTGAAAAATTCAAAATATTTCTTTTCATATGCCAAAAACAAGGCAAATAACCCCATCTAGCATCGGGCCCTTACTCAGACAGGATGGGACTTACACAGACGACAACAAGGAAATGAGTGAAATATTGAAATCCCAGTACGACTCTGTGTTTAGTGAACCCCTAATTTGGTCTGAGGATCGACGACCCAAATGATTTCTTCATGAATGAGCCTCAAAACTCCATAAATGTATGCCAGATTTCCGGGCATTACCCTAACTCCGATAGATTTCGAAAAAGCCATTGACAACATGCCTATGCACTCAGCCCCGGGCCCAGACTGGGAACTCTGTTTTCATTAAGAACTGCAAGAAAACCCCCCTCGCGTGCCCCTAAGTACACTATGGAGGGGAGCTTGGACATGGGGTGAAATTCCAGTCACTTAAAAACCAAAGGATTTAGCCCCACTCCATAAAGGTGGCAGCAAAGCATTAGCTAAGAACTATAGACCAATAGCTCTGACGTCCCACATCATAAAAATCTTGGAAAGAGTGTAAGAAGCAGGATTGCAAATCACCTGGATTCCCAAAATCTGCACAATCCCGGGCAAATGGGTTCAGGGCAGGTCGCTCCTGCCTCTCACAATATGGATCACTATGACATGGCCTTGGATGCACTGGAAGGGAAAATCAGAATGCAGATGTAATATACACAGACTTTGCAAAAGCATTGACAAATGCGATCATGGCGTAATAGCCCCAAAAAAATACGTGCTAAAGGAATAACTGGGAAAGTGGGGAGATGGATCTTCAACTTCCTAAAAAATCGAACACAAAGAGTAGTGGTCAACAGAGTTAAATCGGAGGCTGCCATAGTGAAGAGCTCTGTTCCACAAGGCACAGTACTCGCCCCCATCTTATTCCTTATCCTCATATCAGACATAAACAGAGATATACACCACAGCACCGTATCATCCTTTGCGGTGATACTAGGATCTGCACGAGGCTGTCATCTGCTGAGGACGCGGTTAACCTCCAAGAAGATAAAAACCCAAAGTTTTCCAGTGGGCAACGGTAAACAATATGATGTTCAATGGGGAAAAAAATTTCCCAAAACTACCCCGTTTATGGAAAACTGGAGGAGATAATAACTAGAACAGAGTATACTACTGACTCCGGCCATACAATAGAGCGGAAAAATAATTTTAAGGGACCTGAGAGTAGTAATGTCTGAGGATTTCACTTTCAAGGATCACAACAGTGCCACAAATCGCACGTGCAAAGAAAATGATAGGATGGATAATGAGAACTTTCAAACGAGAGATGCCAAGCCATGATGACCCTTTTTCCCAAATCACTTGTTCTCTCTAGGCTGGAATACTGCTGTACATTAACATCTCCATTCAAAGCAGGTGAAATCGCAGATCTAGAGAGTGTACAGAGATCCTTTACTGCACGTATAAGTTCTGTCAAGCACCTTAAAACTACTGGGAACGCTTGGAAGCACTTAAACTTGTACTCGTTGGAACGCAGGAGGGAGAGATATATCATAATCTACACTTGGAAAATCTTGGAAGGAATGGTCCCAAATCTACACACAGAAATCACTCCCTACGAAAGTAAAAGACTGGGCAGGCGATGCAAAATGCCGCCAATAAAAAGTAGGG